GTTTCCTGAACCAGAGACTCAAACCTTTGACTGGGATTCCTTAACTTTTGACTAGAGTTTCCTCGGCCTCAGACGCGGAGGACGTTGTGAGGCTCCCGCGAGGCTCCTCGGCGCCCTGGGACTGAGTAACGGGCTGCCAAGGAGTTGCGGAAGAGGACGGCACTCCCTGCCTGGGGGGCCGGGGGGGGATTCCTGAAGGGAGGGGGTCCAGTTAAGGTTCCCTCCCTATATGAAAGCCCCAAGGGGGTCGTGCTGAGAAAAGACGCACCTTCCCAACGTCGTCTGGTCCGGGCTGCAGGGTGACCGAACAGGGCAGGTTGGTGGCCATCTGCAGAAGGAGGGGAGAAGGGGGAAAGTCAAGGGGGGTCTTCTTGGGGGGAGGAGGGGGAGGAGGTCTCCTTGCTCCGCACCTCGAAGGTGAAGGGGTAGGCGTTCTCCCCCAGCTTCTTCAGCAGCTTATCCTGCAGCGGCGTCAGGGTCTTGGGGGCCTGGTCGGGCACCGGAGGGAAGATCTGGGTCACCAGGACGTAGAGGTCCTTCCGGAAGGTCAGGCCAATGACATCCAGGTCGTCCCGGCCATAGCGGAAGGCGCCCGTGAGGGTCACGTAGACTGCGCCCGCCAGGAAAGGGGGGGGGAAAGAGGGACATCCAGCCGGTTAGTTGTCCCCAAGAAGGAAGGCAAGGGGACCTGTCTGCCTTGACCACCGAGCGGGAGGAGCCTCACCTTTCCTGTCCTTCAGGTACTCGGGGTCGATCAGGACCACTCCATCTGCAAACCAAGGGGAAAAGAGGAGGGAGGGCCCCGAGCCCGGAGTCAGAAGGCCGTCATGATGCGGGTCTCAGGTGGGTCGACGTTGGGGACCAACAAGCGAGCCCTCCCCCATTAGCCCCCCCCCCCAAAATTCACTCACCAACAGGGTCCACGTGATCCACGTGATCCACGAAATCCCGCTTCCCCAGGTAGATGGATAACTGAATGGGCAGGAGAGAAGCCCCCTCAACTTGGCTGGCCAACGGCACACGCCCCCCCCCCAGTGCAATGATGCCCCCTTCCCACTGTCCCAAAGCCCCCCCCCCCACATATATCCATGAATATGAATATTGCCGTTCATGGAAGCAACCAACTTGAGGGAAGCTGGGTCCGCCCTGAGAAGAAGACCCTTCCTTCCCCGCTGCAGCGCTCCTCTTACCTTCCCATTGGGACTGGTCTTCTTGAACACTCTGCCAAGGGAAGCACAAGGGGCGGGG